CCCCCCCAAAAAAAAAAAATAATAATAAATAAATAGATAAAAATAAATGTAAATATTTAATCAAAAGTACCAATCGAGATTACCGTGCGTCCGCTCTTTCTCTAAAAGATCAGAAAAAAAGATGATAAAAAAAAAGGAAATATATGTGAAAAGAAAAGAATATGAAATGAAAATAACAAAAAACAATAAAATCAAGCAGACCAAGAATGCTGCGAATCATCGAAACCAGCATACTTTTTCCTTTAGACAGAAAGAGAGAGAGAGAGAGAGAGAGAGAGAGAAATATATATCTTAAAAAAAGTAGACATACATAAAAAACAATAAAATTTCTCTTCCCGAAGACCAAGAGAACCAAAAACCAGCAAATCTTTTCCCTTATTCACACAAAAAAAAAAAAAAAAAAAGAAAGAAAAAAAAAATATAGATATATATATAAAGGAAACACATCAAAAAACATTAAAATTTCTCTCCCCGCAGACCAAGACAACCAGAAAGTGCTCCGAATCATCGAAACGAGCAAACCTTTTCCCTTAACCAGAAAAAAAGAAAGAAAGAAAGAAAGAGAGAAAGAAAGAAAGAAAAAATACATATAAAGAAAACACACACATCAAAAAAACAATAACATTTCTCCTCCCGCAGACCAAGAGAACCAGAAAGTGCTTCGAATCATCGAAACGAGCGTGCTTCTGGTCTGCTTCGACGACCCGCTTCCCTCCCGCTTCAACCTGACGACGAGAACGAGCCACCGAGCCAGCCTCTCGAAGCGGTCCAGCAGCTTCAATATGAATGCCCAGAACTCGGTGAGGATAGTGCGGATAAGGATAAGGATAGGGTATGAGATAGGGTTTATTATGATGATAGTAATCGTGATAGGATAGGAGAGTAAGGATATTATGAAGGATAATATTGATGATGATGAATGATGATACTATTGATGATAATGATATTGATGGTAAGGATAATATTGACGAGGATAATGATAATATGAATGCCCAGAACTCGGTAAGGATAGTGCGGATAAGGATAAGGGGGCGTGATAGGATTGGAGAGTATGGTTAGGGATTATTATTATGATGATAAGGATAATATTGATGATAATGATAATATTGATGATAATGATATGATGATGATAATGATATTGATGATGATAAGGATAATATTGATGAGGATAATGATAATATGAATGCCCAGAACTCGGTAAGGATAGTGAGGATAAGGATAAAAAAGTTGTGATAGGATATGAGTAAGGATATGGTAAGGATAATATTGATGATAATGATAATATTGGTGATGATAATGATATTGATGATGATAATGATGATATTGATGATATAATGATGATATGATAATAAGATTTTTGATGGATAAGGATAATATTGATGATAAGGATATTGATTATAAGGATAATATGATGATAGGATGATGATAAGGATATTGATTATAAGAATAATATTGATGATATTGATGATGATAAGGATAATATTGATGATGAGGAGGATAATATTAATGATGATTATGATAATAATGATGAGGATAATGATAATATTGATGAGGATAATGATAATATTGATGATGATAACGATAATAGAGGTAATGATGATCAGAACAGAAACAGCTACAATCGCACTGACGAAAACAGATGATAAGATAATGATGATAACGGTAATGATGATCAGAACACAAACAACTACAATCGCACTGACGAAAACAGTTATTAATAATATCAGGAGTCATTAATTTTTCCATTTATTAGTCCTAATTCATTTCTCTCGCCTTGATCGACTCAAATCATCTCAGGAAGTCACCATGCGGGACGAGGTCAACGCAGGTCACCAGATGATTCACGGAGGCGGTTACAACCACAACACAGCCAACAGGTGGTTCGACAAGACCATTCAGGTAGGTCACGTGATGGGAATTGCAGTTTTATGTTGAGATGATTACTGTCATTATCGCCCTAATCACCCTTAATAGTCATTATAATAATCATTATCTTAATTATTAATGTCATTTTCATCATTATCATTATTTTGATAATGATAATGACGATAATGATAATTCTGGAAATAATAACAACAATAATAAGGATTATAATAACATAAGGTGATTTTATGCCTTCATTCGCTATATGGCACATGTATCATACGGGTAGTATTGAATTGGCTGTGATATAAACAATCGGAATAATTCGAACATAATGATATTCATAATAGTATAACTGAAAGTAACGAAATATCTATATCTTCGGGAAGCTAGTGTGAAGTGACTAACCGCTTTTTTTTTTAAAGTAGTTGCATTGTGACGATTTCATAAAATAACGGAAGACAATAGTCCGGATATATTTAGCTGCATATAGAATAAGCTGTCAAATGAGGTGCAGCTTGTGTTGCAATTTGCAGCAGCTCTAAAGCAGAGAATTCAACACCCTTCCGTGCAACTGTAAATTATTTTTTGCAAAGTCCTGCCACGTCGAATTTTTTTTTTTTTTTTTTTTTTTGAC